AAAATATAGATATAGGAAAGGAGCTTCTAAATTGGACATCTATTGCTCAGGAATTAAGGTCAAGAATCAACAAGTGGGACTTCATTAAAGTAAAAAGCTTCTGTATAGCAAAAAACCAACCAAGGAGATGAAGAGAAAACCCACAGAATGGGAGAAGATCTTTGCCAACGACACATCTGACAGAGGTTTAACATCTAGAATGTATAAAGAACTCAAAAAACAAAGAATCAAGAAAGCAAGTAACTCAATTAAAAGATGGGCTAAGGATCTGAACAGAGAGTTATCTATGAATTTCCCAGGCCTAAGTGACACATCTACAATGCAACCTCTAAACCTAAGGTGCATGGAACATAGAACAGGGGTAATGAAGATGACACTAATGAATCCTTTAATTTTTATTAATGAAGATCCCTCATGCAACACAGAGGGTCAGGAACACAAAAGGTCACAAATGTCCAAAATGTAGAGATTAAGAGTCTCCTGATTGATGGTCATTGGGCAGGACTCCTATATTAAACTTCATCCACCAAGGGCTCAGGGACCATTGCAGGGAGGGCATGGAAAGATTGTAAGAGCCAGGGAGGAGGTGCCTGACCATATGGAAACAGAGTCCTACAATCTCCCAGGACTCTGCTCATATGATTCTATGGCAATGGTGACAGCATTCAAAAGCCCCTTGCAAACTCAGACAAAAACCCAGCGTGGAACTGGGGAAATGAACAGTAGACCCCAATCTTAGCTGAGGAAACATTGGCAAGTGATTGCTGCTAGGTGAGGAAGAGCTGATCATCCTAAAACAAGACTCTATATAGGCTGACTAGACCTCAGTGAATGGACTTACACTGGGGAACGTCTGGGGACACTGACAACACACTGGGCCTTAATGTGGATGATAGAGTATATGGGTTCCACTGCGAGGGCTATGGGAAGGTTTCGGTGGGAATGGGAGTATAAAGATGATTGTTTGAGATGTTCTGTATAAAATACACAAAAAACTTAAAAAAATTAGAAGCTAAGATATGAGAGAGAATATGTGGTGTTTGGCTTCTGAGCTGGGGTTACCTCAATGTAAGAATTTCTAGTTCCATCTATTTTTCTGAAAAACACATAATTCCATTTTTCTTTATGGCAGAATCAAATTCCATTGCGTGTATGTAACACATTTTCATTATCCATTCATGTGCTTATGGACATATAGGATGTTTCCACTTCCTTTCTATTGTGAATAGAGTTGCAATAACATGGATGAGCAAGTATCTTTGTAGTAAGATGTAGAGTCCTTTTGAATTACATATCTTAAAATTAAAAAAATATATATGTGTGTGTGTGTGCTTGGATGTATGTATGTGCATCATGTACATGCAGGTGCCCAAGGAAACCAGAAGAGGAACTAGAGATACAGGTGGTTATGAGATGCCCAATGTGGGCATCAGGAACTGAACCTGGGTCCTCTGCAAGAACAAATATTCTTTTCCTCAGAGTCATCTCTTCAGCCTCTATATATCTTTAAAAAATATTTATTTGTGTGTGTGTGTGTGTGTGTGTGTGTGTGTGTGTGTGTGTGTGTATGTGAGAGGATAATTTTATGAGACTGATTCTCTCCCCTTTATGTAGGTTCTGTGGCTTGCTCAGCAAAGATTCCTACCTGCAAAGACCGCATCACGTGCTGAGCCATCCCCCCATCACGTGCTGAGCCATCCCCCCATCACGGGCTGAGCCATTCCCCCCCCCCATCACATGCTGAGCCATCTCCCTATCACGTGCTGAGCCATCTCCCCATCACATGCTGAGCCATTTCCCCCCCCCATCACGTGCTGAGCCATCTCCCCATCACATGCTGAGCCATCTCCCCATCACATGCTGAGCCATCTCACCCTCACTTGCTGAGCCATCCCCCATGACATATCTTAATTTACTCAGTCTTTCATTCAACAAGCCTGTGTTGCATTCTTGTTCTGCGCTCATTCTGCACAGAGAAGTGCTTATATCTGAAATCTTGATCAAGGGAAGAAATACCATATTCAAGTTTCATTTTGTTGGTTATTTTTAACTCAGTGGCTTTCAAAATTTCAGCTATATCTGAATCACCTGAAGGGCTTGTTAAAGCACAATTTACTAGACTTTGTCTCCACAGCTTCAGATTTAGTGTATCTGGGATTCAGCCAGGGGGAATGGGTTTCTAGCAGGTTCCCAGGTGATGCTGGTGAAACTGATCTGTGCCTCACAAGGAGAACCACTGACTGAGTGGAAGCAGGTCGGGTCACCAGTGTATCTTCTCTTGCTCTCTTTTATTTATTTTTTTAAAAATTTTATTTTGTCATTTTTATTTTAAAACTTAACTTGTTTTGAGGTGGGCTAACTTCACTCTTGGTCCAAACACGTGCTTGTTGAATGAGTGTGGAGTAAATTAACACCATGCAGTGGGAGAGGGGTATAGCACATGGACATCATTATTATATGCCTAGTCTATGAAAGAGCCTTAGTTTTCTGAGAAGTAGGTAGTAATTTCAGATTACATAGAGATCGTGTAGATGTCAGGAAGGATTCAGTTGTTTGTGAACTTGAGATGCTTACATTTTGTGTATGTGTGTGCATAGACAGAACTGGTACAATACATTCCCCAGAATAACCTAATGAAGAACTTCTGGGTTGAGTTTAGTTCCTGCCAGCCTTCTGAAGTGCTGGGATTACAGATGTGTGACACCATGTGGGGCTTACAAACCCTTTCTTCCTTCCTTCCTTCCTTCCTTCCTTCCTTCCTTCCTTCCTTCCTTCTTTCTTTCTTTGTTTCTTTCTTTGTTTCTTTCTTTCTTCTTTCTTGTTTTTGGTCTTTTTGATACAGGGTCTCCCTGTAGCCCTAGCTGACCTAGAATTCGCCCTGTAGACCAGGCTGGCCTTGAACTCACAGTGATCCACTTGCCTCTGCCTCCCAAGTGCTGGGATTAAAGGCATGCACCACCATGCCTGGCAAAAATGCTTTTTATGCAGGCACAATAATATAAAGCAAGTGTTGAGTAATATCTAACATGTACATATTAAAATTGGCCCAGTCATCTCTGTTTTGTCACTTGCATCTTGTTTGTTCAAACTGGGGGTCCAATTCTGAATCATGCATTGTAACTGGTCATTATGTTTCTTAAAATTCATTTAAGTAAAATTCACTTAACACCCTTTCCCTATGGCATTGCTTGACCAGATGTGTCTGATGGGTTTTCAATTTACTGTGCTACCCTGTGCATTTTCTGGTACCTGGGCATTAGATTTAAAGCCTGCCTTAAGATAAAAATGAAACTGTTTGGGGAAGAACACATCGTAGGTAATATGTGCTCTCTGTTTTACACAATGAGAAAACACATATCCCTGCCAGTCCCACCATTTGTGATGTTATATTGATCACTGGATCGAGGTGGTGAGAGCTCAGGACTTTTATTGTTACCTTTCCCCTGTCAAAAAAGAGTATTGTCTGTGGTATCATTGCAACACTGTATGAAAGTTAATCTTTCTGTTATCTTTTGAATTTTTAACACCAACTAATAATTCTTGTGTCAATAAGTAATGTTGCAGAGCTGTTATTTTTCTAAGTTATTAATTCCTTTTACATATAGTTCTCTTAGAAGAGCAGATTAAATATTGAATTCTTTATTGTTAATTCCCAACTTCAAAGTAAGGAATTGATTTAGTGGGTATCTTTTTTTTCTATCTATTACTCTCTTTTATTTTGCTTTTTAGATTTTTTAATTGAATTTTTGTTCTGTGTGAAATACACAAAAATTTAATGGACATCTTAGATATTCTGAAAATATTCTTACACATTAATGAATTTTCATGAATTTCATATTTAAATCAACTATAATTTTTATTCTTTTATGTTCAGTTTGTTTTATGTTCAGTTTATTGAAATGTTAGCCAGTGATAATTTTTTCAGTAATGTAACTTTATTAATTTTTAGCGTGATTTGCTTCTTTGCACAGCAAGATGTGCAGGTTTACCTTGGAATTTCCTTGTCTCAAATGTCAATCACTCTCTTCACTATCAAGCCCTTCTTCCTTTCATTGTTTCCTTGATTCCTCTTTTTTTTTTTTTTTCTGGTGGAATAGTTATAGACATGAAACCCTTGGCACTTGGAATGCCTATTGGTAGTATAGTGGCAATGTTTAGAGACATTTTCAATGGTTCATTAGTTCTTGATTTTTTTTTTTTTTTGGTCTTTTTCTGAGACAGGGTCATCCTGTAGCCCCAGCTGGCCTGGAACTCACTATGTAGATCAGGCTGGCCTGGAACTCACAGAGATCTGCCGCTGCCTCCTAAATGCTTGGATTAAAGACGTGCACCACCACACCCAGCTTAGTTCTTGATTTTTAATGTTAAAATTTTAGTGCTTATGTAATTAGACCAGTTTGCTATTCCATGATACATACACATTTCAAAGCATGCTCCACACTATGAATGTATAGAAAATACTTCATTAGTTAGATATTAATTAAATAAAATAAATGAGAAACATGGACCCATATTTCCATTTTCAGTTCAGTCTTACTGTGTTTTAAAGTAGTTACTGGGTTATTATAATTGCATCTTTTGTTTTACATTGAGCATTTTGACCTTACAAATAAAATAATTTCAAGACAGCATCAATACTGCTGTTAATAATAGAGCCAAATGAAGTTTAAAATTTCTTTTTTTAAACTATTTTATTATTTTTTATTTTATGTGTATGAGTGTATTGCCTGCATGTAGGTAAGTGCACCCATGTTGTGCAATGCCTGTGGAGGACAGAAGAGGCCATCGGACATGGCAGACAGTTGTTAGCTGCCATGTGGGTGTGGGATTCGAACCCGGGTCTTCTGCAAGAACAGCCAGTGTTCTTAACCACTGAGCCATCTCTCCAGCCCCCTCCCCCATTTTTTATAATATGTTTATTTTAATGACAGGATTACTTTTTCATGATAATCTAATTACTTTCTTTGAAATACATCTTGTCTGTTTTGTTTTTATCCTAGGTTGATCATTTTGGATTTTTTAATACAAAAACTTTTAAGCAGCGGTACCTAGTATCTGATACATACTGGAAGGCATTTGATGGTGTAATACTTTTCTACACTGGTAATGAAGGGGACATTAATTGGTTTGCAAATCATACGGTATGTGCACGTTTGTCTTCTATTTAAACAATTTGCCTTTCATTATGACAAACTGGGGGAACTGAACTGGGATACAGTACAGATGACCAAATTTTACTTCATTTTTTTCCTTTGTGGTGTTGGGAATTGAGCCAAGGGCTTTGCACATGCTAGGAAAGTGCTCTAACATTGAGCTGCATCCCAAGCCCTCTTTTCATTTTTAAATTTTGGGACATGGTCTGACTCAGTTGCCCAGGCTGACACTGAACTCACTCTATAATTTTGGTAGCACTTGATTTTGCATTTCTCCTGCCTCAGCCTAATGAGTGGCTGGGATTATTGGCCTGCACCACCAGGTCCAGGTTATTATTGTTGCTCTTAATTATAAAGGTATTAAGATAAAAGATAAACTCACTAATAATAGAAAAATAACAGATGTACAAGAGTAGGAAGTCTACAGAGAGTAAATACGGATAATCAAGAGAGCAGAACATTCGGTTTAATGGAATTATAAATGAAAAGAACAAAGTTCTATTTTCAGAAAATTGAATTTTAAAAGTTAAACAAATCTTAATTTATTTTCAGAGTGAATAATCTAAAGAAAATGGGTATAGGATGTTATTGCACATAGTTTTGATAATGGCCTATACAAGGTGAATGTAACAGCAGGAATTTTTATGTTTCTTCAGTATTGTATTTTTGGAATTCAGGGTTATATTAGGTATGTAGTAGGTGCTCAATAAGTATTTGTTAAACGTATGAGCAAAATGAAGGCAAAACCAATGCAAATAAGAGAAAATACAAGTTTGACTCTCAGGTAGGAAAGGGTAGAGGTGAAATTGTAGCTATATTTTATTGGGCTTCCTGTTCTATCATTTTTCTTACATTCATGAGCCTTAAAGTTGTACAACCTATTGGCTTGCCCCCTTATCCTTGCCTCCCTAGACCTTTTGCTACACTTAAATCCATCAAAAAAACTTAATCAGGACACATGAAACAAAGACACCCTTCTTTTGGTACCTCAAGACTGTGAGTAAAAAATGCCAAATTTCTACCAAGAAGTTAGGGTAAATTATTTTAACGTAGGGAGTAATCATGTGATCCAGAATGCCAGAGCCTGCATGATGCCTGGTGTTCCGAAGTCTCAGAAAATGTCTACTCAACTGGATTCAACTGAAAGGAAAGATATTCATTCTTAGCTACTGAATTTATCATTTATGTTCTTATCCCCTTACAACTGTTAATAATCTAAATATAGAGGGAAAAATGATTCTGGATACTGAGATCCATACATCTCTTCCTTTTATAGATCAGTGACCATCAGGTGCCTGAGGTTATTTTGTGCAAAGCCAGCACTGCCTTACCTGTCTTCTTTTCTTTGGCTGTGACTTCCCTTTCATGCCCAAGCTACACAGCAACTTCTTCCTGGAACCTTCTTGATTGCTGAGTGGTGTGGGAGGGCTCACCCCACTGCGGGTGGTGCCACCCCTGGGCAGGTGGGCCTGCATTGTATAAGAAAGCAGGCTGAGCAGGGGCCAGGGGAGCAAGCCAGTAAGCAGTGTTCCTCCATGGCCTGTGCTCCAGTTCCTGCTTCCAGGTTCCTGGCCTGAGTTCGTACCTTGGGCTCCCGGATGAACTGTGACCTGGAGATGTAAGCTGAATAAACCCTTTCCTCCCCAAGTTGGTAGTGGTCAGAATGTTTTTCACAACAATGGAGAAACAAACTAGGATAGAAATTGGTACCAGAGAGTGGGGTATTGCTGTGACAGACCTGACCTTGGTATTTTTAGGAGGATTGTGGAAGCGTTCTGAACTTTGGGCTGGAAAAGCCATTGAGTGCTCAGAGTTTGTTGCTGTGGAGCTTGGATCAGTTATGTTGAAAGAGTTGTGAATGATGGAGGCCTGGCTTGTGAAGCTTCAAAGGGAAGCAGAGACTATCAGGGTTGTTCATGTGAGATTTTGGATTGAGAATCTGTGGGTTCTGGTTGGCTGGGGCTGAAGAATCAGCTGTGATTAAGAAGAGACCAGAACCTGAAGCAAAATGTTTGCTTTACTGGGACAATTGATGCTGTTTAATGGGGGCTGAAAAATCAGCTGTAAGTAACAAGAGACCAGCATCACTGAGGTGAAATCTTGTGAGAGGTATTTCTTCAGGGTCAGCACACAGAGGGGACCCAAGCCTCCATCTCAAGCTAGAAGCAGGACTTGGTAATGTTTAAGAGTCTCCTGCATGGTTCTGATGTTGAAAGCATGAAGGGATCACAGAGAGCAGCTGAGGCTTGGCACTCTGAGAGGCCAGGAAAGGCCATAGGTGAAAATGCAGCTTCAGTTGCAGTGAAGACTCCAGGATTGAAGGGATCATGGAGAGAATCTGAGGTTTTGTACCCCAAGAGGTGAGAAGAGGCCATTGGTGAAGGTGTAGCCTCAGTTTCAGTAGAGACCCCGGCTTTTTGGAGATCCTGGGACCATGGGACGACCACCAAGGACAGCAGTAGGCATGGAATGGAGCCAGCCTGGGTCTTCAAAATGAGCTGTGTGTGCTGTGGACGGCAGAGTCAGAGAAGTGGAGCTGCCAGAACCCTTTGGAGCCCAGAAGATCTTGAGTGAATCCCAGATGTCCAGCCTTTAGCTACTCTGCTGGACTTTGGTTTTGCTTAGGTGTGCCCAATTCCTCCCTTTTGAAATAAGACAGTTTGTTTTGGATTTTAGGGGAGCCCACAGTTAAGAGACTTTTTAAAGAGACTTTGAACTTAGTGAATTTTTTTTTTTCTTTTTTGTTTTTTTTGAGACAATTGGAAAGGTAATAGTTTAATAGTGATGTGTTTGTGTGTCAAGTTGACAAGGGGTCAATTGTGCTGGATAGCTTTAGTGTCAACTTGACACACCTGGGTTGAGGGAGCCTCAATTGGGGAATTGCCTCCATTGGACTGACCTGCGATTGTTGAGTAATGTGGGAGGGTTCAGCCCACTGTGGGTGGTGCTACCCCTGGGCAGGTGGGCCTGTGTTGCATAAGAAAGCAGGCTGAGCAGGGACCAGGGGAGCAAGCCAATAAGCAGTGTCCCTCCATGGCCTGTGCTCCAGCTCCTGCCTCCAGGTTCCTGCCCTGAGTTCCTACCTTGGGTTCCCTGATGAACTGTGACCTGGGAAATGTAAGCCGAATAAACCCTTTCCCCAAGTTGGTAGTGGTCAGAGTGCTTTTCAAAGCAATGGAGAAACAAACTAGGGCAGTATATGATGGAAGTACACGTCAACACTTTACATAAAACTCTTGAAAAATGAAAATATGCTTGAAATAAATGCAGTCAAATAATTACTTAGGTCAAGCTACTTTCTCTCAAAGTCTCACGTCAATTCTAGAAGTCTGTCTATTTTGAGGGATGGTATCTACTCTTAAGACACAGTTTTATATGGTTAGGTATACATACAAGTGCCTATTACAGCGAGTAGTAGAGATCTAATCCTGGAACTCTGATGTTGAGGGCAGGTGATCAAGACTGCTGTGCTGTGGCATGTGAAGGCAGGTGTGCTTGAGCTGGGTGTGGTTGCACCTGTGGATATGTGTCAGGGAATAAGTAGTTCTGTGAAAAAGAATGTGGGGTTCTTGAAACATCACCAGTGTCAGTTTAACTTCACACACACTTCATGCAGCTTTTTTAAAAATTCATTTTTTTTGTGTGTATTTCATACTGAACATCCAAAACAATCTTAATCATCTTTATATCCCCATCCCAAATGGCACCCTCCCATAGCCCCCCACTCCACTGGAGCCCATATACTCTATCATCCCTTTTACTTCCCACTGTGTTGTCAGTGCCCCCAGCTGTTCCCCAGTACAAGTCCATCCTCCGAGTCTAGTCAGCCTTTCTAGAGTCCCTTGTTCTAGGAAGATCAGCTCTTCTTCATCTAACAGCAATCAGTTGCCAACAGTTCTTTAGATAAGATTGGGATCTGCTGTTGATTTTCCCAGTTCTATGCTGGGTTACTGTCTGCCTGAGTTTGTGTGGGACTTGTGTATGCTGACACCTATGCCATAGAATCACATGAGCAGGTTTTCAGGAGCTTGTAGGACTCCGTATCCATATGGTCATGCTCATCCTCCCTGGCTCTTGCAGTCTCTCTGCTTCCTCTTCTGTGATGGTCCCTGAGCCTTGGGTGGATGAAGTTTAATAAAGGGGTCCTGTCCAAGGACCATTATTTAGCAGACTCTTGATCTCTATACTTTGGCCATTTGTGACCTTTTGTGTTCCTGGCCCTCTGGTGCATGAGGGAGATTCATTGTTCACAACTGATTCCTTAGTGTCCTCTTCTTTATCCCTGTTCTATGTTCCATGAGCCTTAGGTGTAGAGGTTGCATTGCAGATATGTTCTCCAGAACTGGGTATCTCTCAGAAACATGTATTCTCTGTGTCTGACCAGTTCTGGAATTTTGCAGTAGCTCCATCTGTTGCAAAAAGAAGCTTCCTTGATGGGTGGTATACGGTATACTTGTCTGTAAATATAAGGATCCATATTTAGCATATGGCAAGAAATTTCATTTGTTTAGAGATATGACAGAGAGAGAGGGTTTTCTCTAGGATCTATGACCTCTCCAGACATGTGTATTTGGCTATATTTACAGTGCCACCCATGAGGTCCCTCCCACTGAGAGGGCTTTAGGTCCAATTAGGCAGCTGTTGAGTGCCCCGGATAGCAGTGCCAACCACTGCATCAGTAGAGGTAGTTTGCTGTGCTGGTCGTGGTGGACTGGCTTGGATCATCGATTGATTTCCTCCCTTAGCTGTTTGCATAGTATCCTCTCATAGCAGAACTATGAGAGCTAGTCCAGAGAAAATACTTCCAGGTCAGTTCCTGCTCTACTACTCCAAGCCCTGTGTCTGAAGTATGTCCTGTCTTCAGCAGTAGGGTCTTATCTTCCAGTTCTGGGAGACAGCTAAGAGCTCTGGCAATAGCCGGTGTTATCTGGGGAGTCTCTTGGACCACTCTGACCTCCACAGGGAGATCTCTCCTGCTTGGTACTGTGCTCCTTGCCCTACAGTCCCCAGGTATACATACATACGCACTAATGTTCAGAAACCATATGTGCATTTCTCAGAGGCTTTCAGAGGCAGCAAGCTCTTTTTCCTTAAAATTTTTCACAAGAAGCGGTATAACTGAGTCAAATGGTAGGTTCATTTTTAGTTTTTAAGAGATCCCCACCTTACCTCCCATAGGGGTTGAACAAGTTTGCAATCCCGCCAGCAGTGGATGAGCCTTCCATTTTCCCCACATCCTCTTCAACATTTGGTATCAGTTGTAGTCTGATTGGGGTAAGATGAAATCTTAAAGTGGTTTTTTTAATTTGTATTTCCCTAATTAATGATGTTGAACACCTTTTAAGATGCTTCTTAGCCATTTTATTTCTTTTTTTGAAAACCCTCTGTTCAGCTCCTTAACCCATCTTTTAATTGGGTTACTTCCTTTCTTGATTCTCTGTTTTTTGAGTTCCCTGGGTTGTGCAGCCCAGGGAAGCAGAGGGAGGTGAGGGTGGTACCAGGACCAGAGGGCTCCTGGGGACCTTGAGAAGGA